GATTATATATCGTTATATTAGTTGTGTTAGAATGCAAAATATGATAGACGAACTAAATCGTATTTTGCATCATAAAATGCTCTTACAAATAAGTATTGATACATATTCGAAGTTTCGAAAAATAACAGAAATAAAAACATTTTAAATGAAATATAAATTTGTGCTGACATAGTATATGTGTGTGTATATAGAGTATACAACACTTTATTGCTTTAATCTAAATTTCTGTCAATTTTATCCTGGATTAATAAGAAGCTTATACAGATAATTTCCGGCTCATTTGCAAGTACATGACTAAATACTAAATAAAATGGAAGTTGCTATTTAGCGATTCCAGAAACTATTAAAACTGTGACACTCAGAGCGTATATGACCATAAAAATTTGAGCTGTTCCATACTGTCAGCTATTAAATCAACAGCACTAAAAGTAGTCAGTCGTCCTTTTTCTGATATTCAGGTTCTTTTTAATTCCTTTTTCCTTATATCCCAGGTTCTTTTTGTTAATGCTGAATTATTATAAGATTTTAATCTTACTTTCATGATGTAAAAAAATGAAAAGAGAAACATTTGCAAGCTCTTTTGTTTATTATATTGACATTCAAGTTATTATAAATACTCACAGACTTAATAATTCAAAACAATTAAAGAGTTAGTGAATATTTTTTGGATATGCAGTTGTTAAAAGATATTCTCAGAATGAATTAACAGTTTGAATACCATTATGTTGTAAATTACCGAAAGGCTACGGTAAATGATTAGTTATGCTTGAAAGGATAACTTACAGTTTATGTGTTTCCTTAATATCCGAGCAATCCTCGTCTTTTCATAAGTAATTCACTTACAAAATTCACGAACAAATACACGAAATATCAGTTTAATGATGGTGTCTCAATTCAAGTCTTCTATTGGACGAGTATCTCGAAGAACACAATAGTTTTGCAAATATAAATAATACAGTAGAATCCCTACTTAAGACCACTCCGTTTTCTGTTCTATATGTCATTGGTTACATGATTCAGAATTAAGACATCCCGCTTATCCAATTTCAAGACCACCAGATTCAGTCCCAATTCTTTGTTTTATTCTTCATTTGAACCCACCATTGAGACCACTTTTATTAAAGACAACACCTACTTAGATCTTTAATTTGTTGCTACTATCTGCTGGAATGCCCTAACGTATGTCACTTGATATTCCAAGGTATCAAAAACTGTTAATTATTAGGTTATTGTATGAAAAAAAGCGAGAAAGTAAATCTAAGAGTAGTTTAATGTTGCTTTCAGCATTTTGTGAAGATTTAATTTCTCATTTTATAGGTGAACAATGTACATCTTATAGTTTAATCATAGAATAAAACTAAAATCAGACCAACGAGAATTTAATATTAAATTTCAACAAAAATATGTTTTCCTCTTATTAGATTATTTATTTTAACACACTTTACTATTGTTTTTGCAGGTAAAGAAACATATTGTGTGATCATACAAAATGACTGAAATAGACCATGGTCATACAGTAAGCAATGATAATAATATTCGCAATTAAGACCAACCCACAATTAAGGCCACTTTCGTTCAGTCCCAATAGTGGTCTTAATTGAGGGTTTGTACTGTATAATGTATCATCTTTTGTTATGATAAATAATGATAATATAACAAGGAAGGAAAAATAACAATGATTTAATAAATAGAAACCTAAATTCAATGATTATTTGTATACTGACTTATGCAATGACTTAGTTGATTAAAGCTATATCCTGTTCTATATTGTCTTGCAAATTGTGCATTTTGTTATTTAAATTATAAATAAAAGTATGACATCACACGGAAGCCCTGACGGGTCCTTCTGGTTTGTGTCTATTATCTTAAAACTTTCAACTTTAGGGGAGTTTCGATCTAAATTTTATGATCTAAGCGTTATATTTGTTATTTTATTTTATTGGTTAACGCGTCATACGTATAAGTTCAAGTTGTTTTTAAGAGCATGCTGACATTAAACTTAAATTTTGTAGAGGCCCGGTCAAAGTGCATAAAACATTAATAACGTAATGCTATAATAATGAAAAATAACAGTTGAACATAAAAACATAAAAATAGACCCGAGTACGAAGCGGAACTACACTTTGGACACAATGGAAATGGTTAATTCGAAAATGTTATGACTAAGATATCGACCATTATGGTACTTTCATAAAAGTCTTCTACACCGTTGACACGACTCAGTCTCAGGAAAAAGATCAATCCTATCGAGTTGTTTTTCACAGTATACAAACGAAATGACAGTAGCATGTCTTGCAAGTCAATGTTACCCTTTATTGCCAAACGCGTGCGTGTTACATTGGATCATTCATATCATTAATAATTATAAGCATATCCAGTAAAGCCAGACCCAAATGAAAGCATATTTTAGTCGCCGCCTTGTCCATTGTACCGTGTTCCAAATTCATATGTAGCTACAGCCTACTTAACGCTGCTGGCTCTCTTACCTTTTTTAAATAAGAGCCATTGACAGTTCTGTAAAAGAGAAACTGCTCTAAATCAAAAAGATAACCAAAATGTGAATCAGCCACTATTAAGTAGGGGTAAACAGAAAAAATAGGTTACTTTACTTTCTATTTGATCATTTATTCGTATACTTTAATTTGTCTATTTTTCTTTAATATGATTAAAAGAACAATACAGAGACCTCCGGTTTGTGTGATGTCTTTCATGGTTCTAGACATGATGCCAAGAACCTCATACTGTGTATTTATATAGAAATCATAACGGCAAGAAATGTCAAATCTTTTTGTGGTAGTAAAGGCCGGTCAACCAAACAATGTTTAACTAATGTACAATAACAATTAAGACGTCTTGCGGAATTATTATTTAAATATCGCCGATATGCACTGACCGCTGCCAGAACTTATTCTGATATATTCTGATTCGCTGCTTTCAAAACTAGATACAGAGAGTTATAAGCGTATTTGTAAGCGTATTGATGACAATGCCATCTGCGGGCTTTGCGCGCTGTTACTGTTCAGCTTAATTTATTCATCTTTAAAGTAAGAAACTCACTGGATGTGGGACAAAAACTTTTATCTTATAAAATTGTTGTCCTGATATATGACAGGATGTAAGTATATTAATAGTTTTATTCATATGTATCGCTACTTAATGTTAGAATTCTCAAATTAAAATGACTTATCATAATATTATAAATAGCACACAATTCCAATTGAAGATAGTTTAGATACGTTCTGATGTATTGAATTTATGTATAAAAATAGGTTTGTTAGAACTACGTGGGTTGTCCTTATCTGTGAAATGGTTGTTTAAAGGCTAAATAATGTTTGTACGAATTTGACTTTTTTAATATGTAATAAACCTATATAATGGAAACATTTTCACAAGTTTGTATAGAAAAATATCAACGAACAACAAAAATATGCCAAAAGTACCATGGCAACTACAATGTATCTGTATCGCAGCGCACGTCAAATGTCAAAGATGGCGTTAAATCTATATTAAGTGCCTTACTCAAATATTCTCCATGGCTTTCAACGCAAATACGGGGCAGTTTTACCCATATGTCATCTCTTACAGACTTAAATAACGTAATTGCTGAATGTTTGGATGGCAAATATTAAAGTTTTGCTATAAGCGAACTTCCCGGTCTCGTTGTACCTGCCTTAACAGAAGGAAACAGGCAATAGAGATCGGTCTTTCTATTCATTATGTCGCTTTCTGTAGTGCGGAAATCTAGATCCGTTCATAAATTCGGTAAACAAATGATCGGATATTTTACTTAACTATTCTATTCCGTATATTAGTTAAAAATATTAACAGGTATCATTCCGAAATACTCATGAAACCTGGCGACTGTTCACTGCGCTGCAAATTCTTCTGACGTCACCATTTTTACTTTCCTATTTTGTATGAAATATTTTCATTGTTCGTTCTTTTAATTGAAAAGCAAATTATTTGACATGCCCTGGGAAGTCAAAACAATGTTTGTCTTTACTGACAATTTTTAAGAAACTAGACTAGATACTTTGTTATTGATTTGTTGTAATGTAAATTAATAAGTTTTTAGGTAATATGTGTGAATAATCATCTATTGGCGTAAAAAATGAACCGAATTTCTGGGACAACCATCGTATGTTTATTGACATTTCTCATCCGCTACACAGTTTGAACGTTTTGACTGGGCAGTTTTTGAATAAAAATTACTATCCTCGAGATGCTCATTGTAAGGCTTATATTCTCTTGACTTTTTATATAGTAACAAGACATGAAAAAATTCGGTTCTTTATTTCAAAGCGATTATATATTTAGATAATTTAGTAAATTTTCAAATTTAAAAATCTGGTACAACAATGCATACATTCAGTCCTCTAGTTTTCTTGTAACAAGTGGAATATAGAAAACTTAAAAATATAAGAAGATATTTACAAAATAATCATTATTTTCTTTTATCGAAATATAAGTAATTTCTATACATGAAATGTATGTAAAATATTTTCTATATGATTGTTCTTTCTCAAAATAATCTTTTACTTTGTTTTTCATCTACAGAAAAAGACTGTCGAAGATTCTGTTACTGTTTTTGTGTGATTTTATATCATTAATATGATGTTCAAATAAAGGTTAATCAATATTTTAAGTTCCAAAAAGCATTATTTGCAAAGATATAACCGACCTTACATTTCATATAAATAAAGGGAGGTAATTAGAAATTTATTTTCTATAAAGTCTAAGCCAAATCTTTAAAAAAAAAATGATCCATATATTTCAATGATTACAAATAATGCGTAAAAACTTCACACATTTGCAGTACATATTTAACATAATCTTGATTGTTTGAAAATTGTTTTAGAAGAATAATTATAAACATATATAAAATTTCACTTAAATGTTGTTACATCCTTTATTACAACATACATGCTCTTTAACTCCTAGAATGAATTATAGTCAATAGATAATCATAGCTAAATGACTAGACCATTTCATGTATATCGTCAACAGCCAATGTACGCTCTTGAGTATTGTGATGAACTACTCCATCGCAGCGCCTTTACTGATGTGTCAGAAGATAGAAGGTGTAACAAAGCCTCGTGAAGGAATTTGTACTGCTCCTAAAATGTTTATAACGTTTACATTTTAAAAGAGATTGTAATTATAATAACTTACAGACATCTTAGCCATGAGATTTTATTGTAAAATCAAGAAGAAATGATATTCGTAATGCAAATCAGATGTAAAATCTTAATACGATAATGTATTTTTGTCTTGTTGATATGAATATTTAGTTTTATGAATACACGTTTAAATAGATTTTCAATCCAACAGCTAAAGCTTATACAGAAATGTTCTGTTTTTAAATTAATTGAAGTTGTTTATAATGAATGACTCAGTGTACTCACCCTTTGTATGACACAAACCGTACACAAAAGTTTGTTATTAAGTATTGACATCAATAAGTTAAGTCTCTTTAGCTTGCAATTAAGAAATAATGAACATTGTTTCGTGTTTAATAAAATATTGTAGTCCAATAACACAAACAGATGGACGTATGTCTCAATTTTATTGTTATGCCTTTTTAATTCGAGATAGTGAAATGACAACATACCACTGTTTGTACTAAATTAACTCGATCTTCTCTTAAGTTTCTGACACAAGCAAATATGTCCACGGTGCCCTCAGCAACTCCCTCATTGGCTAATATATCTAATGCCAGAAATGTTCCTGTTCGTCCTACACCAGCACTACAAAAGATAGTACATGAGTGACAATCATTTTGTAACCCATATACCCGTACTCGGAGTTTCCTAATGTTTCTTAATAAAAACACAAATAACTAAAGTACATATTTTACAAGATTCTTATCATTGTGGTTTAGCTGTAAAAAATTTCAAACAGGTTAAAATATGTCCCTAACCATATTAAATGCAAGATACTATTTTTTTACTTATTATATTCCAGTTTTGATATGACACAGAATATGAACTGATACCTGCAGTGGACAAGTATAGGCCCCAGCTCAAATCTAGGTATTCTTGTCAATTTCTCCCAAAACTCGATCATGCCATGGACATCCCGCGGTGTACTCTTGTCTGGCCAGGCTGTGAAATGCATCTGATACAGTATTCTCTTTTCAGTTTTCTGTATGAATTAAGCCATTTCCAATATGTTTATATGTATATCTTGTCTATTTGTATTTTCCTTAAGGTATTTATATTTTTATCTCTATTTTGTAAGATTCATTATTTCTGATAAATTACAATAATTTTTCTCCTATTACTTACACCTTGCATTGCTTTTTTAAAAAAGATAAAACTACTCCGAATACACCTATGTCAGAAAAAAACATTCCTTAGAAAAGGAAAATATAATTTTAATATTTTAAAAAAGCGTATTTGCCCCTGTTGGTGGTTTAAAACTGCCAAATTCCGAGAGTTTTTGCATCTAACATACCCTCTCAGTATTTTTTTTTTACATCTTGATCTTGTTTTCACTTGGTTTTAGTGACCTCCTTTTCTAAGTTATGTTAACTATTGTAAGTAAAAACAAATAGTTTGGGTATTCGTTTTTGACTAATGACATGTAAACATCTTTACCTCAACAGAGAAAATCCTGACTGTGAAACAAGGATATATCTCCTCAGACTGGCATGTTACTTTCACGTCTTCATACATCATGCATACATCTTTATCCGGCCAGTATTTGTCACATTTCTGAACCTGTGTTTTATAGATATAAGTCAATAAAATCACTTTGATATTTTTAGTACATGAAGTATATCTTTCAATTGATGTCATTTAATAATATGTCAATACAATTTAATAAAAACATAGTTTTTAACTTGTTATCAAATTGAAAGTGACATTATACCAATCAAAAGTAAATGGTCAGTAAATTATTCAAACATCTTGATATTTTTTGCCATAATTGTATTTACTATGACAAATAATATATTACGAACATTTCTATCAATATCGTGGCAAAGTATCATAAACGTTATCAATTATTGGTCAATTACCATTATAATAAGTAATCTTCTTAAATAAACTGCTAGTTTTATTTAACTGTACAGCGAAAAGAAATGAACATATTGTATCCTTAAACTCATGTAATAAATGTTTATACTTTTTACATTATTAAAGTAAAACCAATAGTTTGCAAATATGAATAAAATAATTACTATACACGTTTTTCCTAAAAAATGAACGAAATATAAACAGGTATTCTTCCTTAAACAGACGCCTTGTTCAGTTGAATGAATGAATATCATAGATAATGTGTCAATTAATCAACCAAACAACTCCAAAGTTTGGAAACTTACCCCTTGTTCTATAAGATTTGTCAGCATAACTATTTTACAAACTTTTTCTTGCCAAACCATATTCCAGAATACTCCAAAATCATTCCCCATTTGCTTAACTGTTGGTCCTGTAAATGATATTTGTTACGGTTTTAAATAATGTAATTAATTATTTATTTTCGATACATTCTATTTCATTAAATTAAGTAATTAATGACCTTTTTAAAAATTAGCAACACTTTTATAAGATACTACGTTTATATGACAGCGCCGGCTTATATTTCAATTATTGTTAACTGTTTATGTACGCTACTAAGATCTTTTTTTTAAATTTATTATCTCTTAACAATTATAAATGACTGAAACACGCAGTATGCTAATGTGATGTACTGTTAGCAACTCCCTTTTCTACTTTTATTGAAACCTTTATATATTAGAATAAGCAAGGTTTTACGCCCCAGTCCAACAAAGCAATAAATTTAAAATTGGTCATGAAGTGTAAAGATCATGTATGTGTATGTATTTATGTATTTGTGTTTTTTTGACGAATCGCAAAATATATCTTGTTATTCCGCAGTAAATAATATGTCTTATTCAAAATCATATAAGACTTGGCTGCTTTGAAGCTACTTGAACTGTTCCGCAATCCAAAGCAGGGCAATAATTGAGCAGGATAAGGTTAAGAATATGATTTTTCACTCCATAGTTTTGTAACATGTATATAAATTATATAATAATAAAATGATAACAGAGATGTGTAAAATACATACCTAAAGATGCTATATAAACCTTTTGTCTTTTATAACCCTAGAATTGGAACAAAGCTTCAATATTGCATTAAACACAATAGAACGGAGTTCATCAGTCTGAAGTAATACTACTATAATAAGTAAATTATTGTCCTCAGTTGTGAAATTAATGAATATCCGATAAAAGTTTTATACATTAAATGTGCATATGGTGATAATAAATCGATTTTAACTTTATGTCAATGTATTTAGATAAGTATTTACCAAATACTAACCAAAGATCAACATATAGTATAAATAAGTGTTAGGTATGAGCGAACTCGTTAACTAGTACAAATACAACCTCAAAAATAGAAGGGCTTCAATTATTCAACTGTACGATTTTCACGACAAGGGGCATTTGGTTTAAGTATTTTATTATTAAGCGTTTTGTTGTTTTCTATTTTTTCCCATTCAATTATACCTTTCTCTGTAACGAACTGTTAACGTTTATAAGAAGTTTATGTTATATATCAATCTTACTCACGTCTATATAACTGGCATTGATGTAGTCTGATTCTCTGTTCTTAAGAATAACCCTTCTGTTGTCATCTGTAAGAAATAATCATAAAATAAAATATTTATCAAACATCTACGGTATCATATTTCGTTCACAAAATTTCGCCAGTAAACACGCGATAACTATCACCTCTAAATAAAAGGGCTAATTCGTAATAACATAATTCTTAAATTTCGCTTATCAGAGACGCTAATTATCGTGTGTTAAATTTCGCCAGTCTCTCATGCAATAATTGGCGCGTGAAGAACACACAGCATACGAAAATAAAGACGATAAATATCGAGGTGTAGTTTTCATATTTCGCTAGCAAAATTTTATCTATTTTCTAGAAAGGCGATACTCATCATTGTCGCTAGTCTCTCGTGCGATATTTAGCGCGTTAAGGACACACAACATACAAAAATTAAAACGATGAGTATCAAGGCAAAGTTATCATATTTACCTGTTCTCTAGAAAAGGCGATAATCATCGCCCGAAAGACTAGCGAAATTTATGAAATACGAGAGGAGATAATTATCGCGTGTTAAATTTCGCCAGTCTCTCATGCAATAATTAGCGCGTAAAGAACACACAGCATACGAAAATAAAGACGATAAATATCGATGCGTAGTTTCATTTTTCGCTAGCAAAAATTTTTCTATTTTCTAGAATGGCGATAATCATCATTGTCGTTAGTCTCTAATGCAATAATTAGCGCGTTAAGAACACACAACATACAAAAATTAAAACGATGAATATCAAGGCAAAGTTTTCATATTTACTTGTGCTCTAGAAAAGGCAATAATCATCGCCCGAAAGACTAGCGAAATTTATGAAAAACGAGAGGCGATAATTATCGCGTGTTACTAGTAAAATATTGTATAGTAGACGAAATAGGACACCGTTTATATCTGTGCAGCTTTTCCTTTTCAATAAAGAACACATCGTACGGTTGTGCATATGTTATGCAAACGAAGTTTAGTGTAAAAGAACATAAATTCACATTAATCTTAAAGCTACATTAGAAAAAGGTCATAAAAACTGAAATAGCTACATTTCGGTTATATAATTGGTTAAATATCGACTTCCGTACGCCTTTATGCCATCCAAACATAAACAGAAATATACGAAAGAAACAATTATTTGATGAATTCAATAGAGTACTTTAAGACAAATGACAAAATTATGTACTTATAATAATTAATTCCTTTCAGAAATACGGAGGAAAAATTGATTAACAAACAAATATTTTCTAAAAAAAAGCGCATAAAATATAATTTCAGAAAATTCTTGGTCTGTTATTTTGTTGGGTCAATTTCGTAATTGTGACTTAATGTTCGTCTTCGTATTGTTTTAAAATTGGCATGTTTTAATGTGTTAACTCACATGGACACACATCTTTATAACGATTTTTCATCAGGTTTTCTGCCTTCTGTGATTCGTAGAACGGTTTAATAAGTCCATCTGGTAAATTCTGAAAGTACAAACAAACTTTGATTTGTACATGCATTTCTATACTGTTTGTGATATGAAATGTATGACATAAATGCTATATGAGTAACTTAAGGTTCAGAAATCGAAAGGAAACGAATCTGATTAATATCTTAGTTAGTCAAAGACAAATACAAATATATGTATAACATAACATCATCATTATTTTTTTAATATCCTGTTTAGTCGACAAAGGAAATTATAACTTTATTTACGTCCGTATATAATAACTGAAAATCGATAGTATATTTATTTATTTGAAACATTATAAATATCCCTGTCATGATCATCATCATCATCATCATTATAATTATTATTATTATCATTATTATTATCATTATGTTTATTATTATCCATTGCATTATATTTAGTCACTGTTATATTTAAGTATCCAGCGGTCTATAGTATCCGTTCTTGTCATAACATATAACGTTGTTGATAATTAATACATCTAAAATTATATTTTCCAAAGTCTTAACATCTTGGGTAATGTATTATGAACCCAATTTTAGAGATACTTAATGTATTTTTTTTTCAAATTTGTAATTCATATTCATTCTGCTAGTATTGGAATATTCTACTGTTTGTCACAAAAAAGCTATTAAATAAGTAATGTATAATATTAAATAAAACATGTACACTGATGGGTAATTGATGGGTTACACGACATGCCTTAAATGCTAGTTCTGCTACATCAGGGTTTGGGGGGGGGGGGGGAGGGTCATCATTTACATAGGTTGGCACAAAAGGGGCATAACTTTGCCTAAATGTATTTTAGGATTACTTGTGTTGTTGATTTGTTACCTCAGAATACCCAAACGCGTATGTTCTCATGTAAACAGCTATTCATTTATTAGTTACATGGCACTAGTAGCGACACTTTGTATTTACAGAAGAAACAAAATATATCTACGGATAAACAGCGTGGTAACATGACTAGGGAATAATGAAACAAACAACGACCATCCAAAAATGCCCTCTCTAAAGTCGTGCGGGTAGAGACATAAAAAAACATCCACCAAAAGAGACTGTGTTTGAAAGTTACCATAAATTCCTGAGAATACTCTATATCTGTTTTATTTTCACTTATTTCCCGGAGTTGATTAACTGGAACTCTTCTTCTTAAATAATCCTCTGCATTTGCGTATAAAACCTCGTCAATCTGCATTTCAAATCAAGTATGAACACATTTTACAACAGACCTTTAAATCTGTAAAAATAAACTCATTTTATAAACTATATTAATCTATTTTATTTTTCTAAAACCAATTTTTATACAACAAATGATTAACAAAAATAACAAAATATTAATTGGACCGTGACACATATTATGTACAATTATAATACAATGGATCATATAACGAAATTAATCGCTTTCATGTCTAACTCGAATCACAAAATTATATTTTTTAAGCATAAATCTATATAAATAGTTGCAATAAAACAAGTAAAATCACAAATATATCCTTGCAACAAGATGACCATTGCTTTTACTCGATACCAAATGGCAAATGATAAAGAGAAAGAATGACTTGGTGGCCATGAGAGAAACTCAAAGTTATCTTTATTTGGACTTATTGTTCCGCTATACCGATTCCTTGACTTCAACAACTTCATTTGCATTGTCTTCATTTCCTTCAACAATATCAGGAACTTGTTTTCTCTGAATACTTGCATATTCGGCAACGTTATCATAAACACTTTCCTGTATGGGTGGTTCACAAACATTTATTGCTGCATTGCCTAAATCAGCTAAATTTTGGTAAACTATTCGTCGTGCGTCTTGTTGCCGTCGGTTATTCTCGTCTAAATAAACAAAACAAACAGTGTAATTTGTTTGATAAAAGGTATAACAAAGTGTTGTTTATCTTCAACTTTTTGCTGATTGCGGTGATACATTGTATCATTATCGAAGGTAAGTTTTTTATGTTGTCATTATTTTTCTTTGTTTTATTATGAATATATTATTTAAGTATTTAACCATTGACGGCTGAAATATCAGACATAACACTTTTATGATTATATTTCCTTTTCACATGGACTGTAAGATAATTAATAAAAAAATGATATATGTTATCAACCGTTGCCAAACTATCGATCTAAATTTATTTTTAATTATTGTTATAACGTTGAGATGTGCAAGTGTATTAATTATTTATTTTATTAAACTCTGATTAACTGGGGTTCCGAGATAACTTATACTCTTTATTTGACTTTACCAGTACCGGGGTGACAATAATTGTCTTTAAATTTTGATAAATTAATTCAAATAAAATCAAGGTATTAAATGAAGTAAAAAATGAATATAAATAAAATAGTATTGAACTGACAAATATCATTTAATAGTATTTAATATAGTTTCGTTTATTTATTTGGAAAGGAAATAACTTTCATTCATTTTTCTTGCAATTTACAAAAGTTCGTACGAAATATTACTCAACTAGAATAATATGTCAGAAAAGATTAATCAGTAAGCCCATTATGATAAATGACGAATACAATACTGCTTCCTCGTGTTATGATTAAGTGCCCTGTAGAACAATGTCTTATTCATCTCAGGATATTAAATAATGTATTAATTTACAATTGTTACACCAAAATTTATTTTCCTTATTTCTGACAAGTTAAATGAAAAAGTTGTGCAGATTATTAAATGCTAAAAATACATAATTAAAAGATTTTACTATTACGTTCAGAAGGTAGTATTTCTTGTGATCTTCTAACTTGTCTGTTAGTTATAGAATCGCTTAAATTCCCCGTCACCAGATTTTTCTGTTTTGTAATATAACTGAAAATACAACAAACATGCAAGTTCAACTTTTATTAGCCAGACATCTCCTTTTTTCAAATAAACTTGCGTACGCAATTGTTATAACAGAATATCATTTTTTATGTTTGTTGAAACAGGTTTGTAAAAACGTAGAGGAAAATGAATACAAATATAAGTAAACTAACACTTTTAATCTAACGCAGCATACCGTGATGCTTTAATAATTCAAACAAACAATTTGAAAATATTTTATTGTATATACTTCAAAAGCACAATATGCCTAAAAATGTGTGTTTTCCATCCCTAGAACCAAAAAATACGTGGGTTATATAACGTTGAAAATGAATAATATTACAGCATGTTCGATACTTACCACTTGAAGAAATAAGCGAAGACTATGAAATTATTTGTCATGAAAGTAGCTAAATGTGAAGAAAGTAGTATTTTCATTTCCATAAATAATACTAAATCACTATCACTGTACTTAAAACCAAAACGCAACATAATCAAACGATGGTTCCGGAGTTTGTTAAAGTTACCTTAAATAACAGTTGTTTTGATTTACAAACTATTTAAGTATTTTTAGCATAATCATACGGGTTTTATTTATGTTATGATATAATCAACTCAAACCTTGTTATTAGAAATATTCCCATAATGACCGCAACAAGGATCAAAATGACAAGAGAAACAATCAGCAAACCAATATGAATAGGTTGTAATAAGCTGCTTGAAATTCCGTCTGGGTTTACTGTAAAAGAAAAACAGAAATAAAACATTTTATGTATAAAGTTTGAAAATTATTCAATACCCAATTTGCAAAAATCGTAATCTATGTTTAAAGATGGTGTAAAACTTATTTTGATAATTATTTTTACAAATCATTATTTGTAAATATTTATAAGCAAGAATACTTAACTTACAACTTCATATTTTTTACATGTACTACACGTATGTTAAGGATTTATTTCACAGACTGTCTTACTGTATTCGCGTACACACATTTTCCACCGCATATTATAATTAAATAATGACAATTGCTTTTACCTGTTTTGTCGCATTTGTTTCCAAAGTATCCCAGCTTGCATTCTTTATTACATGTTCCCGTCAAAGAGTCGCAAGTTCGATTTATACATAAATAACTACACACCTGGTCACAAAGTGGTCCATAGAAAGTATCGTTGACACACCGACTACAATTGCCTGACCCACTACAAATGCAATTATTTGGACAATCACACATGTATCCATGATATCCCCCAACACAGCCATGACTGCATGTCCCATTCTCTTTAAAACACGTGTTATTGAGGCAATTATGTGCACACAGCTTCTTACAATACTTTCCCCAGTAACCTTTATTGCAGCCGTTGTCACAAAGGCCGCTCTCTGCATTACAAGACACATTAAAACAATTCGAAGAGCATACATAAAATTCGCATTTGCTTCCATACATTCCATCTGCACATTTTTCACATTTACCTGTTTTGATATTACAAGAAGTATTATTCTTACAGTAACCACATTGTTGGCTACAATTTCGACCAAAGTAACCATTTATGCATGCATCACAAAATGATTCGTGTGTGCATTTCAGACACTGCGAGGGACATGTCTGTTCACACCGTTTACCATGAAATCCACTTGTGCATTGTGCACATTGTCCATTCATAAAACAATAATCTTCCAAACAACCTTTTGAACATTGTTTGTTACAGCGCTTTCCATGAAAACCGTTTTTACAATTATTGCAATTACCTAAAATATTGCATGAACCCAAACAATTTTGCGGGCATGTTAGGTTACAGAACTGTCCGTAAAAACCTGGTATACACGAAAAACACGATTGGTTAATCTGACACCGATTATTCAAACAATTTTCTGGACATTTATATTTACACTGATAACCCCAAAATCCATCTTGACAAGAGTGACATTCTGTTATTGATGTACAAAGATTGCAGTTATTGTAACACCGACTTTCGCAGTTTTGACCAAAATACCCATGACTGCAACGGTTGTCACAAGTTCCATTTAAACATGTATCGTTGCAATTAATGCCGTGAAACCCATCTTTACATTTCGTGCAGTTTGTTTCTGAATAACATGAAAGACACTTGTCAGGGCAATCCTTTTCGCAGTTTGTACCGTATTTTCCGTCTACACAGTCGTCACATGGCCATTTGAAGAACAGCTTACATCGTTCACATTGACCTGTCCATTTGTCACATTTGTTGTCAAGACACCCATTTTTGCACTTACAGGTCAATCCGAAATATCCAGGATTGCAAATAGTGCAACTTTCTTTTAAATCACATGTCAAGCATTCTTCAGGGCAGTCAAATTTGCAATCATGTCCAAACTTTCCAGGAGCACAATCATTGCAATATTGTCCAACATGCGTTTTCCTGCATGAACAGTTACCCATGATTATGTCACAAACATCGTCCTTGCATCCTGAGGAACATTTTTGATCACATAACTTACCGAAGAAACCCTTTATACATTCAGTGCATTCATTTGGTGAAGAACAAGCTGCGCATTTGTCCTCGCAAGGTAAGCATTTTGAATTAAATAGGAAATAACCTTTTGGACATGACTGGCAATTAGTGTCATTTAATTGAAAGTTTTGGATACAAAAATCGCACACCCATTGCGATTTACAAGTTTTACAGCCTGTCAAACATTTTGAACAATCCGTGCCGTTTTTAAAATAACCAGTATCACATTCTAAACATTCGTCAGCCGAGGAACACTTTTTACAACCTTTCGTGCATGGCTGACAATCAATGTTATTTGTAATATCATGTCGAGCATAAAATCCAATGTCACATGTTTTACACGTTTTGCTTGATGAACAATCCTTACAACCATTGGAACAGCTCTTGCATTCCTCATCCAGCAAATAATATCCCGTTCCACACGCATAGCAGTTACCTGTTGACTTACATTTGCAGCCATTCGGACAAAGAGTTTCAATTGATTCTAAAATGAAATAATATTTTTTCATAGAATTGTAAACGCTAATTTTTTAAAACTTAAAACGAATTCAAGACACGTTAGTTCCATCATTTAATCATAACATTTTTAAACGGAAAATTACGATCTTTGTCATTAACCAATACTTCACGTCAAAGGGATTAGAATAAGACAGTTCACACTCCATTAAAATAACAAGCAAAATAACAAGCACTGTTTCTGTCAAATCACAAAAAGTTGTATTATTCAAACATTTTTACAATAACTTTTGAAATACTTAATTATTAGCGCAATATTTACTTGTATTTCAATATACTTTAACTTTTATAAGCACGATATACCAGTTACCTACCACAGCACACTATTACGAAAAACAAGACTGTTAATGTCGAGGTTAACATCTGAAAATAAAAATAAAAATGACAACTAAGATAATGTGTTTATTTATGAGACAAACAGTAATTCATATAAATACGAGATTGTCACTGACTCTCCTGTTGTTGTTGTTTTTTGTTTGGGACATATTCAACATATTCTGGACAAAAGTAGCCGTTTTCTTACAACATATAAACACAATTATGTCAATGATTTTACTGTTGTTTTGGTTTATTAAGCTTATTCTTGACGCAAGAAGTCACTTTTTCCAGATTGATATGCTTCACAACAGCAGGTACGAAGTGTTGTGTGGCATCCCGTACTCTTCTTTGGGGTTGTTATATTTTTCTGCAGACATTTTCACAAAAAATCTTACGATTCATCTTAAGCTTTTGACTTAGATAATCGTAAGTTAAATCTTAATTTTCATTTTCACAAAGACACTCGTAAGTTTAAATTTTATCTTAAGAAAAAAATTCACTTACGATAAAAACATCCCTAGCAATATTCATTTGATATTGATGTGCTTGCTCTATATTTGATTCTGGTTTAAAAATCAAGTAATAAAGAGCTTGAAATATCTATTGAACACAATCAAATGTTAATAAGAACAAAAAAAAAATGATTCAAACTGATATAATTTATGATAATTATAAATATCTTAAAGATTCAGAAAGAAGGTCTACTATGTTATTAATAAATAAAAAAGTACCACTAGTACATGCTGGCAATGATATCGAACTCACCAGATGTACAAATTATTAGTTTTCAATAATACTACAGTATAGTTCACATTTAAACTATTCATAACCCTCTCCAATCTTGTCGTCATCAAGTCATGACGTCACAAATGTTTATGTTGAAAAATAATTATATCTCAATTTGTGTAATTTATAGCATACTGTTTGCTTAATATATATATGGCAACTTTTTGTTTGTTTTTATTCAGTTTAGGTAAGAGATACATGATATTTTACCCTTAAAAGAGAAGCAATTACACTTACGAACGGGGAAGACCTATCGTAAAGTTACGACAGATTTTGCACTTAAGATTTTCTTAAGATTTTTTGTGAAAAGAAGATTTATCATAAGATTTCTCTTACGATAAAAAATTTGTCGTAAGATTTTTTGTAAAATGTCTGCTGGTCTTTAAGGATCATTGATTCTAACACTTCAAAAAAATTTAAAGGGGCGTTAGGAATGCTGCACTTTTTCATTATCTCTCATGTAAAGACGCAATCAAACTGAGACAGCAATTGCCATGTAATTGGTTGTGATGTATGCTTCCGAGATATCACACTTATTCCAGATTTTCATAAATATGTCACGGCTCGCAAAAGCTTCTAAATGACACATCAACATTCTTACAGGATACAGAGTTACAGAAACAATTAAGCTTATTTCTTTAAATCTTTCAATTTTCATTCATTTGAAGGCAATTCAGATTTATTGGGAATAACATAATATTTCACATAGAAACATTGTTTTCAACAAAAAGTGCACTTTTTATAATGCTTTAATATTTGTCTCATTTTCATTCGGCACTTAAATTTCATTTCAAATGATCAGAAAAAGTCAAATATGAATTATTGTTGAGACAGATAAATTCATTTAAAAGTCAATCCCATAAGTAATTGGGGATTTTACTCCTGTGTTATTCTCTTTTTATAGCTATTATAGTAAATATTAGTGGTAATAATAATGAAAATAATGATATCATTTTAATAATTGCTTTAAAATTTCAAGTATTGACATGCAAATCAGTTACCTTTTGAATGAATTAACAATATTCATCAGTTTCATAAATTTTCATATTAAATTGAATCCATAAACTTTCATCGTTTGCGACGCGTAATGCATCAATAGATATTATAATTGAATCATATTTAATCAACTGTCTTATTTTTGTTGTTGTTTTTTTTTTGTATTCTTTTTGATGTTTTTTTTTTAATAAAAAAAAATGTATATTTTACTTCATGTAGCCTCGTTTTAATTTTTGACACGAAAATACACATTTCAAATTCATATTCTTTATCGTGTAGCTTCGTTTTCAAAGTAATCATTTATACAACACTGATTCTTTTTGACTCGTACCTAACTCAAACTCGGCTAGCGTTCGGTTATTTTGGATTTTTACCCGAGACATTATAAGAATCTCATAATACTATCCTAAATGTCCAATAAACATTTGTATCTTATTTAAAATATTTATTTGATACTTATTTCTTGTACAAATCAGTGCTTAAAATTTGCATAGCAAAGGAAAAAAACTATTTACAAACATTTAAAACAGTTGAATTGTGGCAACTAGAACCTTTATAATTACTGTCAAAATAATTATAAATTTTCATAGACTTTTTGGTATTATATTTCACTATAATACTTTAAACATTGGCCAATGAACATTTAGAGTTTCTTTTATAAAATCATTCTTCATTTTTTCATTGATAATAACATCCTTTTAATTCACTAAGTACAAAAAACTTATCAAATTACTTTTGCATTCCATCTAGTCACGTTTTTATATTCTGAATCCAAAAAGTCCATATCAAATTCATTTTGATTTATATTGTCTTATAAGATATGGATTCATTGCCATATGAAATATATAACAAGACACATATTCAAATCAAACGTCGTCTTATATTTCTTTCAATTTTCAGTTTTATACTTACTGTTAATGGTAAGAAGGTTCTAGAGGTGTGGGATGTTACAGTTTTCATTTTCTTTAGCGAATAGATTCAGTTATAGCGATTCTGAAATTTTATGTTTATTTTATTTTCATTGGTGTTGAGAAATCTTCCATTCGAAAAGGTTTAACATTTAAGTCTCCCGGTAATTTTTACATTTTTGTATATGTGATAGACATGTTTATGTGCATACATGGTTTATATATATTATATATATACATATGCGTATGTAATGACTGACAATTCTTTACATCCTTTTAAATTCAGGAAATTAATATAAACCTAAAGACGTACTCAGTACCATACTTAGAAATAATGTATTTTTGTTAAAGATCTAATTGTAGGACACTCTAAATACAATACGGCAAAATATTTACCAGCCCAGTGAGACAATATCATTGTTAATTGAAAATATAGAAAATAAAAACTTACGTTTTGGGTTATGTGATCCAATAAATAAATAAATAAATAAATAAATAAATAAATAAATAAATAAATAAATAAATAAAAAAAATAAATAAATAATATTACTGTAAATAAAAATACACTCACCATTTAAAAACGCCCGAAGCAAGAAACAATACATTTGGATTATTCATTGTATATCTACATTGTATGTTACCAATGAGTAGTCTTTGCTTATATGTAAACAGCATTACATACATTTGCATAATTACTAACGATTCTCTGACTTTCCATTTCAAGTGTATGACCAAATATGAGGAAGAAAAGAGAATGAAACAATATGATTATTGTAAAACTAAAATGAACTTTAACATTCATAAAAATGACGGTTGAAGTACAAAATTAATCATGAATAAAACACAAGCGCACTTTTAACAGTGTAATGTTGTTTTAAGAGCACGTGTAGTCTAATATTATGGAAGAAAACTACTAAAAGGAATAACCTTACAAATAATTTTCCTATTTTTATGCTCCCCGATAGGAGAGCAAATAGTCGCCTCTTGTCCGTCAGACCGAATATCCGTCTGTCCAATTTTCTTGTCCGGGACATAGCTTTGACATTACGAGAGTTATCAATAAGAAATGTTGTAGATAGATTGAACTTATTAAGAAAAAGTGCAGTGCACAATTTTTGAAGCTAAAACTCTGCCTTGACTTATTTCCGAGCAATTTCCCTTTGTTCAATTTAACAATAAGAATTTTGTCAGGGACATACATGACATAGCTCTAAAACTACAAGAGATATTAACAGGAAACTTAATAGGTTGATAGATAAAAAAAACATAACTCTGCCTTCCCTTACTTTTGAATTATTGCCCTTTGCCCTTTGTTAATTTTAACATTTTTAATTTTGTCCGAGATATATATCTAAAAACTACAAGAGGTATAAACAAGAAACTTTGTAGGTAGATAGATCTCATGGAGTAAAAGTGAAGTGCAAAAGAACAATAACATTGCATTTCCGTTTTGGAGTAATTGCCCTTTGTTAATTTTTACATTTTGAATTTTGTCATGAACATAACTCTAAAACTACAAAAGGTGTCCACAAAAAACTAAGTAGGTTGATAGATCTTAATTCGGGAAAGTGTAGTGCAGAAGACCAATAAATCTGCCTTGTCCTATTAATAGCCTTTTTTTAGTGTTTTACTATTAACATTGCCCCGCACATAACTCTGAAACCACAACAGAGATATCATTAAAAACGTTGTAGGTAGATACATCTCATTAGTTCAAAGTACAATGCACAATAATCTGAATGGTATTTTTTGTAGGGGTGGGGGAGGGATATTGCCATAATTATAAACAAAAATATTTAGCAAATATGAATTATCAGACTCAACTATAAGGTACTGTGAAAAAATATACAGAAACATAATAAATAAAACATTAGCATAATTCACAAGAAAACAATACATCTTTTAAAGGTTTAATTTTGAAGATTAGAGATAAAATAAGTTTTGGTAAGGAAATTATCTAAGACAAGATGGTGGCTTACATTACTTAGCAAACACTGGTTGTATTCTGCGGTGATGGTCTGTGAATACAAGCAACCCTACCTTGCCCTAATTGTTAAGTTTTTGTTTATTTTCATAATTTGAACTTTGTCCGGGACATAAATTAAGTTTTGATTTTCCGATATCATGTTTTTAATAAATTTGAAAATAAAACAATATAAATGGGAAATTTATTTGCATGAAGATGACAGGAAGTGAATGTTGTTTTCTTTATACAAAATTTATAAATTCTGTTTTGTACTTTGTCATAGGACATTTCGATTGTTGTTGTCAATTTATTGGTCACGTTCATAGATAACGTAATTTCCACAAAGTTAGATTCATTGTGCACTTGTTGATTTACAATATTTTATCTTATCGTATATTTACATATGCATGATTATACATTATTCTGTAAATATGAATTTATTATTAAAGGTAGACAAACATGTAACAAAGATGCTAATCAAAAAGTTTAGATTGCTATTATGTAGAACAAATGTGAAGCAGAAGGTGGCATGAAACTATTTATAATTATGTTAAATGCAAATTAAATGGCTACACATTAACCAGAGCTAAGATTTCAGATGTCAATTTCAGTACTGTAGAACATATCATCAAGATTAGCATATTAATGAAATGGAAATCTTAACGGTAAACTCTCAGTTTAACAACCTGTACTGTAATTTGCACGTATACTCCGCTATATGACGTCAAAAACAAGACTATCGCGTTGATATTATACAGATCTCACACCGGCTGCCGGTATAGACCGGAGTATTTAGATGGGTAACTGTTGGCGGCGGTAACGAGACTTAGATAGTCCCTTCTATTAAAAAAGTCCGGTGTCTGATTCCCTTTCTTGCATATTAAAAATTAATCATATTTCAGAAAGAAATTACAAAAAAAACTGATATTTTTATGTAGTGCGTTTTTGCTATTGTAGATTATCAATTTGTTATTTCATTTACAACGGAAAAATGCAGTCAATTCATGATGAATCATTTAAAGCACGCGGCCTAGGGTGTTAGGCAGATGTAAAACAGGTTCTCTAACGCCGATATAAACTGTAGATAAACCTGCCTGATATGCAAGCAATAGCATTTATACAAACAACCATTGAATCTCCTGAAAGGATGCTATTTCAAAGCTCCTCATTTAGTTCATAGATTAAAAATACAAACATCATTACGAGAAACAACCACAAGAATTGAATTGTGTTTATATCATTTATTACATTTACATGTATAAATGACGATTCCACAAAATTATCATTATATATAATTTGGTGGATAAAACAGTGAACTAACACGTTATTTACACAATGATTGAACAATGTAATCAATTAAGCTTCACCCAGCCAATATACCTTTTATACAGTATGTGCATACAAAAGCATAAAGAAAAGTGTTGCGTGCAAAAACATAAACAACATAATAAAATAAAATAAATTCTATTAACAACTAATATCAGTTGAAAAAGACACGATAAATAATAATGAGTAGCCAATGGTTGTTGTGTAATTCAGTATGTGTAACACGATAATTTTCTAGATAGTGAATCTCACAAGTTTGGAACAATGACACAAAGGGGGGTAACTCAAATAACATTCTAGATTTTGAAGTCATCATTATCTCCCTTGACAGAGCTACAAATACAGTAGTGTTATATAAATTATTTTAAACTTAGCATTTAAAAGTTTATTTATACGCACAACCTCCATTTCGAAGCGTATGCTCTAGTACATAAATTTAAATTACAAATATCATTACGGGAAGCAACAACAACAATTTATTTGTGCATATGTCATTAATTTACATTTATAAATGAAGATTCAACAAAATAGTCATAAATTTATTGGCCGGGTAAAACAGTAAGATAAAATGTTATGTACACAATGGCTTAAAAAGTAAAAAGTTGCCCCGTACTTCACTTCAGTGTTGTTATATTTTCTGGTCCTTCGGGATCATTGATGCCAGCACTATAAAGTGTTGAGAATTGAGTACCGCTCAAGCCGGTGCTAGGGGGCGTGAGGGATGTTGCATTTATTCATTATCCCTCATGTACAGACTCAATCAAACCGAGTCTGCAATTCTTATGCTATTTTGTTGTGATTTATGCTTCCGAGGGATCACTTTGTTTCCAGAATTTTGTACTTCACAACAGCAGGTGTCAAGTGCCGTGTGGCAGCCGTAAAAAGTTGCCCCGTACTTCACTTCAGTGTTGTTATATTTTCTGGTCCTTCGGGATCATTGATGCCAGCACTATAAAGTGTTGATAATTGAGTACCGCTCAAGCCGGTGCTAGGGGGCGTGAGGGATGTTGCACTAATTCATTATCCCTCATTACAGACTCAATCAAACCGAGTCTGCAATTCTTATGTTATTTTGTTGTGATTAATGCTTCCGAGGGATCACTTTGTTTCCAGAATTTTGTACTTCACAACAGCAGGTGTCAATTGCCGTTTGGCAGCCGTAAAAAGTTGCCCCGTACTTCACTTCAGTGTTGTTATATTTTCTGGTCCTTCGGGATCATTGATGCCAGCACTATTAAGTGTTGAGAATTGAGTACCGCTCAAGCCGGTGCTAGGGGGCGTGAGGGATGTTGCACTTATTCATTATCCCTCATGTACAGACTCAATTGAACCGAGTCTGCAATTCTTATGTTATTTTGTTGTGATTAATGCTTCCGAGAGATCACTTTGTTTCCAGAATTTTTAACAATATAATTCATTAATTAAGCTTAATCAAGACAATATATCTTATATGCAGTATGTACAAGAGAAGGTGGTGCATACAAAAGCCACAAAGTGCAGTCTGGTATTTTGTCAACAGTCCTATTAACACCAGATGACACTGCTCCATCCAAGAAATGGCAGCATCTAGAAACAGTATAATCCTGTCTGATATACAAGAAAAAGCATATTGTAACCTACGAAATGTAACATGTATGTTCTCTTCATCTTTCCCCGACTACTCTCACGTTAACAAAATTCACTGGTGTATAAATGTTAGAATTACATGAATTTTGTGAAACAAAAAATGTTTAAAATGGGGTCGGAAAGTCTTTATTTAT